GGTCCCGTGCCCAGGTGTTAAGGCAGAGTCATCTTTAGAGTCTGCAACTGCAAAATTGTCTCCTTTTCTCTAAAACAAAGACCTACACAAAGCCAAGAAGCTGCTGTGCTTAAAGCAGTAAATGTTTACAGAGCCTTGTTCACTTGAGCTATTTAAAACAATTTTCCTGAGATACTAATCTGTTTAAAGGGAGAGCCCAAGAGTAGCATGAAATACATATCTCCCTTGTCTTTCTTCCTTTTCCAATGCAACTTCCAGTTCCATGTATCTGCTTGCCAGCTGCCTCCTCCATTGTGTTTCAGTGTGCTGCTGCGTGTGCAGATGCAGTGCGGGGCTTGGCGGAGCAGAGGGATGCCTTTCTCTGGGCCATGAATTCCCAAGAGGAAGGGGGACTGACAGCCTGATACAAAGTAGTATAAAGTGCTGGAAGAAAATTGTCATTTCCTTTGGAGGGGTTTTACTTTTCCTGGTCGCATCAGGTGTAATCTTTCAGGTGAAAGTCTAAGTTTTAACTAAGCTAAGACTGGGTGTGGTTTTTTTTCAGGTTATATTGATGCAAAGTGTGTTGCACTCTGCATGAGTAATTTGGAAGAGGTCATAGTTTCCTATAACACATCCTGCCTATTCCCATGGGAAAATGGCTTGCTTTCTCACATTTTCCTTATACCAATTGGCAAAAGAAATAAAAGTTTGGAATTCCCTGGAGTCTTGCCCGGGAGCGTGTAACCCGGCTCTGTGGAGGAGAATTGGGTGTCTGACATCAGGCTTGGTGACAGCAGATTGCTTTGCAGAGAGCCCTGTGCCAGGTCGGTTTGCTGCTCGAGAAGTGGGGTTGAGATGGTGTCAGCATAAGTAGGAGTCTAAAGCAGGGCTGGAAAAATAGCAGAGGAGTCAGCCTGCATGCTAAATTAGAGAGAACAGCCCAGACTTGTTTTCCAAGTCTCATTCATTTTGTTGCATCATGCTAGATATTGGTCAAGAAAGAGATCGGTTGATATAAAATAAGCTTTAAACAAGACTGTTTTCTTTTCCCCTAGTGCTGCGTGCCCTGAGGGCCAGGCAGGGTTGCAGAGGCAGCTGCTGGCAGCGAGTTGGCTGGTGTGCTGATGCTGCGTGTGCCACAGGAGCATTGCGTGGGGTTTGTAGCAGCACATCCCTTCCGGGGGATCAAAGCACGTTCTGGTGGAGTATAAATGTCAGTCTCAAAATGAGCTGTACTTGGCTGCAAGCAGAGGTGATGCTCAGGTGGGGGAAACCCTGCCAACTACAGAAATGAAATTTTAAAAACTTCCCTTAACTTACTGGTGTCTGAGCTGCCTAAAATGAAAAGGCAGAGGAGCAGCCCTGGTGCTGCATGGCCATGGGCTGTCGTGCTGCCAGCAGCCTCTGTGCAATGGTGGCACCTAGCGGCTGCTGTGGCCGGCAGGGCTGTGGCCCTCTCCCCACGTCCCTGGGACAAGGAGGAAGCCAAGGCTGAGCTTGAGCTGTAGGCTGGGCCTAAGAGAGTGACCTGGTCTGCTCAGCTTCCTTGTCAGCTGTAAATGGGGGCTACAGCTCGGGAAACTGCTGTGTGTTATTTGGACTAAAATAGTAAGGTACCAGCTGTGAGGTGGCCAGTACTGGTGTTAGCTGCTGTGGTGAGTCCCGTGATTTTAAGGGCATCTGCGATTGATGCAAGTGTTCTAGCACCAGTGAGCCATGGCTGTCCTGCACAGCTATGGGAGAGCTGTGCTTGTGAGCTGCATCCTGCTCCAAGTACTAACCAGCTAAAAAAACAGACCAAAAAAGGTGTTGCATACAAGCTGTAAAGAGAGTCTGTTTGAGCTGTCCTGATGCACTGAGTGTGTATGGAAACTGTTGCAGTTGCACAGTTTTTGTCCTTATCGGTGAGTAGAGTTTTTGCTCAAAAACCTTTTGTAAATTTAGCCCCTAGTCCTAATTTGGGTGTATGCAGGTTGAAAAGCGCATCGCTTTCCTCCAACCCATATTGCCAGATACTGCTTAAATGCTGACTGTAGCCTATAATAAAAAGTCAAAACAGGTTTGCTTTTAACTCAAGTGTATGTGAATTCCTCAGGCCAGTTTCATGGCAGTACTAAGGGTGTGTAGTCCTCAGAAAGGCCTTTACCCTTTACCTCCAGCACTTTCATGCCAAGGAGAGAAGTTCTGCACAAAGACACAGACTGCCCTGAGGCCAGGCAGCAAAACCAGGTGACTGGCAGCTGTCTGGAAATATGAAGAGCTGGATTTGGTACTTTCCTTTCTCTGTGATTTTGCATTTGGCATTTGACATCAAGTGTGGCAGGCAGCAGGTGCCTGGAGAGTATGCCAGAACAGCTCCATTGTGGTGAGCTCTATTAATTTCCTGCACAAGCAATGGGCTGCCATCCCTGCCTGTACCCTGGGAAGGGATAGCTGCCGGGGCAAGTACAACCATGCACCTCATGCTTCCTCCCTGCATCTCGCATACCTTCTCTTCTGAGTACAGACATCGCTGTGAAGGACATGAAGGACTTATACTTCGCCTATTTATTTTCCCTGAGCATCTTTGGAGTGAGGAGCAGTTGTGGCAGGAGCTGAGGAAGTTTTCCAGTGCTGTTTTCTGGTGGCTGCCCACTTTGGTCACGGCCATGTTGTTCTGCCCAAAGGCCAGCGTTGCTCTGATTTAAATTGGTGTAGTTTAAGATGGCTGTGGAGGGAATGGGTATTGAAAGCATTGCTCTGGTGACGGAGTCATGTAGATTTGTGACAGGGAACACATGTTCCCTGTGTTGGGGGTGTAGGCTGGGCAGTTCCTGAGCATGGAGCCTAACGAGGGCATTTCTGGGTTTGTGTGTTTGGCATTTCTATTAATGAGTTTTCTTCTCTTTCCAGTCCATCTGAACCTTTCTTACTTCTAAGAGCTGGTAGTCGAGTTATTTGTTTCACCCAGTGGTGGCATTTTTGGAAGCACGTGGCCTCTGTGCCCTGCAAATGGCCCTGAAAAATCCCCCTCCTTGGTGCTTGCATGCAACTGCCCTGTCCGTGCACCTGGGCTGCTGGCATGGAGGATGCTGCACTTACTGCTTGCAGGGAGCTCCTTTGCCTAACAAGAAATGGGGCATATCTGCATGGAGCAGAGTCTCTCCGGATTTTGCGTCTGAAACAGGGCAGCGGGCTTAATTAGCCCCTTCCCTAACGGCCAGTCAGCATGTGCCAGGGGATGATCCTGGTTCAGGAGCTGGGGGGGAGATGTCTGGATGCTCCCTCCTAGTTGCAGAGCAGGCTTGCTCGCACTGCTGCTCACCATCCCCGGGGACGAGGGAGATTTATATCTGCCTGAAAATAAATACAGATCATTCAGTTGTCTCTGGAGGAAGATAAAAAGTAAGCTGTCTATTTTCTGTGATAAAGCACTGGAAATAGTTGGAATTTAAGATAATTATCTTTATTGCTTTTTATAGCACCCTGTGAAGGCTGAAATCTAATTTGTTTTTCACTAACAGGGAGCTCCTGCCGATGACTCAGAAAAATCCATTTGCTTTATTGACAAACTTGTCTGTTTGGTTATTGGGGAGGATTCTCCTTGCAGGAAAAGGGAAATACAGGTCATAACACAATACTGGGTTTTTAATATGAATTCAAAGTTTGATATCTATTGGTGAGAGGAAAAAATAAAGTTGATCTAATCAGAGTGAAGTGGCTCTGCTTTATTAAAGATGATTGTAGATTAGTTTATGCTTTAGTGGGTGTGCAGTAATGGTGCATGGTGCTTTGTTTAAGCAACTTCAATACACTTGAAGCTTATTAACTGGAGCTTGTGGAGAAGCTGCTTTTCCTGGGCACCTGGTGCCCCTTGGCTGTTCCTGAGCCCAGGCTTTGGGGAAGGGGGTGGGAGGTACAGTCGTGCCTCTTCCCTCCTGTGCCTGGGGCCACAGGGAGCAGCATGTCTGGCTTGGTTTGGACGTGTTGCTTGCAAATGGAGTTGCCCCTTTTTTAAACTTCTCTGCCTGAATGCGAGACACAGGCTCCCAGTTTTTAACAAACTCTTATGTATCTGAAGATGCTGGGCACCCCTCATGTGAACAAGTTGCTTGTCAGCACAGCCTGGTGTTGTGGTTCTGAGGGTCTTCTGCTGCTCTGGTACTATGGCTCTATGAAAAGCAGTTGTCTGTGCTGCCCTCTCAGCTGTTGGTAAAGGGGGAGTGCTTTCTGCCTTATCTGACCCAGTATGATGCACACCCGAGAGCTGCTCAGAAGAAGAAACAGCATTCTCTGGACAGGCTTTCAGTATCACCCACCTCCCAAAATGTCCTTTAAATCATAGAATCATAGAATGCTTTGGGTTAGAAGGGACCTTTAGAGGTCATCTAGCCCAACCCCCCTGCAGTGAGCAGGGACAGCTTTAACTACATCAGGTTGTTCAGAGCCCCATCCAACCTGACCTTGAATGTTGCCAGGGATGGGGCCTCCACCACCTCTCTGGGCAACCTGTTCCAGTGCTTGACTACCCTCATTGTAAAAAATTTCTTTCTTAAGTCTAGTCTAAATCTATTCTTCTTTAGTTTAGTTTATGTTTTGGGCAGTGATGTTCAGAGATGGTGGGTCTGCAGGCTGACTTAGCAGAGATGCTTCTAAATTGTTTGTCTCTTTGGCTCACCCCCCCAAAAGTCTGTAACTTAATGGTGTCACTTGGGATAATGCTACAGACTGCTGAATCTCCTACAGTTTGAGTCCTAACAGTTTTTATCCAACAATGGAGAAGTAAGAAGCAATCTAGGGGTTAACTATATTTTTAGAGAGGAGGGAGAGAGCTCTACAAGAGTAGGCTTTGCCTTGAAGTAGGGGTCTATTTCTATCAAGTCTCCGTAGCCCTCCACAAACACACAATACAGCAATGGGGAGAAAACATCACTTTCTGTAAACACGAAGTGATAGATCTGGGTGGGCAGAGCAGATTTCTTGTCTGTCTCTGAAGACCTGCTCAGTGTTTACTCAGCTTTTTATTGGTTTCCTTTCAGGAATTGACTACAAGACCACTACTATCTTGTTGGATGGCAGAAGGGTCAAGCTGGAACTCTGGTGAGTGTTTCTGAGCCACTTTGGCTGCAAGTGCAGGACCCGTGACAGGGGCAGTACTGTTGCTAGTGGGATGCTGTACCAAGCTGCGGAGAGTGCAGAGCATCCCCAGGCATGCAGTGAGGCTTGCTAGGTGTTCTTATCAGTGAGTTATTCTAGCAAACCAGACCCCTTTCTGTTAATTGAATAGCACAAACAGCATGCTGTTCTATGCCAGAATAGTCCAATTCTAGTCTTTCTCTGTCATACCTAACTGTGTTCCCCAATAGAAAGGGAACAGTATTATTTTGGAAGTAATACTGGATCTCCCTGAAATCCTAGGATAAGAAATACAGCTGATGGAATAGGAAAGGAGGAGGAAAAAAAATGGGTGAAGCTCTTAGTCCCTACAGAAGCTGGATATTTCTCAATGACTTGAGTAGAAAATTAAAACAAGCAGTGAATAGACCTAACAGGTAGTGTCAGAGTATGGTAAACCCCTGGAGAGCAGGACTTACTGGAGTGACCTGACACTGGGATGGAGATGGGAGAGTGCTGCATGGGAGGGGTGACCCCTGCCTTATCTGTCAGCACTGGAGGGAGACCTGGAGTCCTTCTGGCTGAGCCTTGTCTGAGGTTTAACCTGCTGAGAAGCTGTCACAGCAATCCTCTGGATAAAAGGGGAAGGATAGGTAGCCTGCCTCAATTCTGGGTTTCACTTGGCTCTAGTAGGAAATGACACAGGCCCTAAAACATGAAGTTAAATAGCCCCTTTACCAACACTTGTATCAAGTAACAGGAATATCAGTAATCTGTGTGAATTGTTAAATAGGAATGAACGCCATGTTGTCAACCTCAGTGGCTGACTCCAGCAGCATATGGTTTCATGATTTAATTATACCTCTGCTATCTCAAGATGAATGTCCTCATTTTTCTTACAAAAGAACAGAAACAGCTAATTTATCTCTTTTAGCTTGTATGTTTATATGTTCTGCTTATATTCTTTTGTCTCTCTTGTAAGATGTATCTTTTAACATTTCAGCCCCAAGTGTGTGGTTACTTATTGCTTCCTTCTTGAAACCCTCTTCTTTTTATACTGTAATTCTTCAGCTGGACAACCAGCACAGAACCTGAAAAGCTGGTAGCATCAGTTTATGATGCCTTCATGTAATCTTTTACTATTACTTTCCTCATACAACCTAATATTTGATTGTCAGTGGAGAAGGAGATTTAAGTACAGACTGTTAGATTGACATCCCTGACTGATAATATGATCCTTGAAAGCTTTAGATCTCAAAGAATGCTGTCCTGAACTTGATGTCACTGCCTTTTTAATGTAGCTGGTGTAAATCTGGGACTGGAGGATTCATCAGGCTTCTCAGTGGTCATTAATGTGTCTCTTATCCTGGCCCAGTGAATAGATATGACAAACATCATAATGTGTCTCTGATTATCCTGACGCCTGTCAGTATATATTGGTTAAATCAGTGCGCTGGGCTCTGGCTTACTGTCCCAGATGTTCCCGCAGGTACTGAGAGGTGCTGGTAATGTAGTCAAACTTATTTACACCGTGTCAAGAGTTACAGTCGGGACAAATGATAGTGACTGAATAGCCCCTTATTGTCGTGGTGGGCTAGAAATGCCATTCCATAGTCCTGTTTCTGAGCTTTCTGTAGGGTATGATCAACCAGGTCTGCCTGTCAGAGATCTGGGTATAAAGACACTTCCTTTCTTTTTTGGTTAAAATGTGTTTGGAAAAATAAGTGAAACTAGACAGTGCAAGACAATTTCTCCTGTCTTGAGTGGTTATGTTCATTTTATGATAGGTCAGCTGTTCTCCATGACTAGGAGAGGTCTGCAGTCTCGCTCTGACTTGGAACTCCCATGGACTGTAGGGAACTAGAGAGAAAATCCTTTGCCAAAGGGAGTAAAATGACTTACATCCTCATACATCGTAAGGTAGTGCTGAAGCTGAGTGGTTTTGGTTTGTACCTTCTCCGTGGGAAGTATGATGACAGCAAGGACATTCCTTGTGTCTGACTGTAACCAAAGGTGGTGATGCACCCATGGATTCTTCCCAAAAAGCACTGTGCAGAGCAATTGGGTACCATGCATGTTCTAAAGATCTGACAAGATCAATGCTGATTTTTTTTCTTTTTTTTTTTTTTAAAGTCCAATAGGAGATGTGTAGTATGAGATTTTATTCTCCAAATTTCATAGCTGTAACTTTTTTTTGTTGCAGGGACACATCAGGGCAAGGAAGATTTTGCACCATTTTCAGATCCTACTCTAGAGGAGCCCAGGTAAGTGCTGCTCTCAGTGCTTTGGGGCACACTTGCCTTTCCTTTAGGCTGTAAAAACCTTTCATGCTGTAGTAAAGAGCGCTGAAGAAGAACACATCAAGCGACAAAAGGATGGGATCTATGTAAATGCCAAGAGGCACTGCATATCATCTTGCTGCCTGTTATTCTGCTTTTATGAAATGGTGGGAGATGGGAACGAATGACAGACTTTCCTAGACTGCTACAGAAAAGGTCTGTTACAGACTGTATTCAGTATTAGTTTCTAGGGAAGGGCTGAGAAGATGTGGTTATAGAGGACAATTCTAGCTCTAGAGCTGCCTTAGCTTTAATGTGGGAGCTCGTACTTTCTGAGGTTTGTCAAATTTGTTTAAATATGACACTGGCTTTCCCAATGGAGTTCTTCCAGTCTGTGTTGCCTTCAAGTCAGTTCCAAAAATAGGGTGGCTCCTACTTGCATGTTTGATGCAGACTTGGAACTAGAGCAGCTCAATTGGATCATAAAGTACGTTCCTTTAAAACATGAGATACAGCGTTATATTTCGAGTTTCTCCTTTGAGCCCTGCTCCAGAATAGCATCTAGATTCTGAACAGCAGAAAAATCTTGTGGTCCTCTGAAAAACTGCTGTTAGTTAACAGTGCTTTCTTACAGTTTTATTGTCATCCTTTTAATAATATGACAGGGTCCCTCCAGGATAGTCTTCCTAAGTTAAATGAACTACCATGTTTCCCCTTTTGTTTCCAAATTGGAAAACTTTGGAGAAAATTCCTCCTCTCTTAGACACTAAGAGTCGGAACCTATATATCAACCTCCTGACTGTGCCAGTATCCTGGCAGCTTCCCAGCCTTTGGGACACTTTGCCTCTTTTATTCAAGCTCTTGCCACTATTGCTCTTGCTTTTTTGCTCCTTGTAGCTGTAGACTTTTGCTTTGCTAACTGGCAAAATCCATTATGCTCTCTTTCTCTAAGACTTCCTGCAAATTCACTTGTGCTGTAGACATGAGAACACTTTGCCTGGCATGTGCTATTGATAATCTTCTCCAGTGTCTTGATTATTCTTGTTTGTGCTCATCTCTGCTGTTGTGGATGGCTTTGAGGCAGCTCCTTTGAAGCAGAGGCCAATTTCCTGGTGCTTGCAGAAGTGCAAGGCAAGGAGTGTTGGAGCATGCCTTCTGCAGTGGAAGAGTACGGGATCTCCTGTTCACATGCTCAGTCCAATGTATGAGTTAGCTTCCCTCTGCCCTTACTACATTTCAGAAAAATCTGGAGCTCCAATCCTAATATAACCTGTGGGCTTGAGACCATGTCACTTCCCTTACCAGTTATAAATAAACAGAATCGGTCAGTGTGGTTTTCTGATGACCACATAACTTGGCTTTGGTCAGTCTTTTTCTGAGATGTGCTGTGTCAGATGCCCAAATCAAACTGGAAATAGAAAGTGGCAGGCTTCCCAACTGATGTGTCTAGAAATATCATTTGAGATCTTTTACCCCTGTCTGCAGCATGACCTGCTTTTCCAAACTGCTGGACAGAAGACTTTCTCCCCTTTGTGTAGACTGTGAGCTCCTCACAGCAAGTGCTGTGTCTCCACAGGAGTGCACCCAGTAGAGCCTGCACCCACATGCCAGAACTCACAGCTGCTGCCACCATAAAGTGAACTGGGGCAGACAGGAAAGGTGAAATAAGTAGTGATGAGAATACTTGAATTGGATGGAGAGACAGGTACACATCTGTCTAGAAACTGCAGTGGAGCTGTAAGGTGCTTGCACAGTGCATCCTTTGGGTTCTGTAGCCTGTTCTCCCTAGATGCTATGTTTGACACTGGATGCCATAAGGTGTCATGTATCTGGCTCACCTGTAACTTTGAAATTGAAGGTTGCTTTTATCTTCCTTTCTCAAAATGAAGTTCTTGACCTTCTTTGCTTTGGAGGCAACATCTTGCCCTTCTGCTGTATTTATCAGTGTTGCTTTAGGAATTCTCACCTGAACGTGTGCAAGGCTTGCCTCATCCATCTTATCTGCTTACCCCTGCCAAGGAATCTGTCTGAGAAACATTTGCAATAAACCTCATCAGCGAAGGAGAGGGACCTTTAACGTGAATGCTTTATTGCTGAATGCTGGGGTATGGAACAAACTTACGCAGCAAGGTGTAGCTTATGCCTTTACCTTAAAGCCTGCATTCTGCTTGTGCAACAAATCCCTTTTCCAAAGTACTGTTGTGATTCCTCAGTCCTGATCTGCCAAAATAGTCAATCTTTACCCTTAAAAACAATAAAACAGCAAGCCTGCCCAGTAGGAAGAGGAGGTGTAGTTCCCAAGTGAAATTCTCCACTGCCCTCTGAAAGTGTTCTTGAGATGAGCACAGGGAAAAGTGGGTGCCTCTTGAAGGCTGGTAGCTAGAGTCCTTGTACAGTCTTCTCCAGGTGGCTTGGAGTAAAACTTAATTGGTTTCAGTATCAGGTGATTGGCGATACAGCAATATTCCTGTATTAGCAGGAATACAGATATTGTCTCTCTTAAATAACTCACCACATCTTTCAATGGAAGAGGAGAGTATCTTAAACTCTTAATGGTTAACCAAAGCAAGAGGACTGGTTTGTTTTGAATAACAAATGCCTGCGTGACTGCAAGAATGGACTTCAACACCTCCAGTTATTTTCAGTATGCAGAAGCTAACTTCTTCTGGCATAGCCTTAGCATAAAGACAACTTAACCCCATGCAATCTCAGGGGAAAAGAGATAAACTGCTCCCCCAAGTTCTCCTATTTCTTCAAGATGTATTTAATGCTGTGTGCTGTACTGACTTCTTTGCTTCAGCTGTCTGCTTTCCTCTCTGCTGTCTTGGTATCATCAGACTTCAAGACTCCTGCTTGTAGGAAGCCTGATGCAAATCCGGTTGGAGGCAAGAGAAGCAGCTTTTTTTAACCTAACAGGCCAAAAGCTCAGGAAGAATAAATACGGCAGAGAAGAGAGACGTCAGGATGGGGAAAGCTCTGTTTAAAGTGCAGTGTGATATTTGTGCAAGAACGGCTTGGTATAAACTGGCCACAAGCACCTTCACGCTGAGAATTAGCAGAAAGTTCTCACTGAGTAGAGGAATGAGACTCTGAACTGAGCTTCCTGTAAGGATCACAAGGGGACCTTGAAGAATGAGTTTCTGAAGAGGACTTTGACAGGTTGGCTGTGAGAGCAGGAGTCTGGCTTCACCAACCTGGCGGCACTTACAGGGGTGACTGAGAACAGGGTGAGTCTATCTGAACAGCCAGTGCTTAAGACAATACTTGGTATGAAAAGCACCTTCAAGCAAGGGATGCACATCTGACTTTCCCACACATACTCTTATTGTTTCTCAAGTGTACTGATAAGAATTGAATCTTCTGAAGTAAACCCTGGAGAGGTTGCAAAGTGGAAAAACAGTCTCCACACAGGGAGAAGACCTTCTCGGGAGTTTTCCTTTCCTCCACAGCGCAGCCTCATGCTTTTCTTGGTCTGGACTGCAGGCTAGTCCCCCCCACCAGTGAAAGGACTCTTCTTGAGCACCTTGATGCCTTCCCCAATTTAGACTCCACACCACTTGCCTGGGTACATAGCCATGTGGCTTTCATGTTTGGCAGGAACTTCTTCCTCTCGAAAACATCTAAAGTAAAATAGCTTTACTGTCCTTAATGAGTTGGCTTCAAATGAGAACTAGTCCCTTCTTTCAGCCAAGGCGGACCAGCCACGTGTGCCTCAGGATTTGCTGTGAGGATCACAGATCTGTCTTGTTTTCCCTCCCTGCGCTGCCTAGCTGATCTGATCTTGTGACGGATGCAAGAGCTCTTTGGCTCAAGGTGGAGGCTTGTGGCGTACTAGTGTGCCTGGGACCCCCTTCCTTTTTCTCTTCTTACTTCCCTGAGATTTGAGTTTCCCTTCTATACAGCTGCTTTCATCATCACTTCCCTCTTAGGGTCTGTTGGGCCTGCAGGTCCTGACTGCATCGCTTCAGGGTCTCTCTTTGGGTCAAAAGAGGAGTAATCATGTCTGGGATAGCGGAGCACTGGCCTCTAGGCATTGATGGGGCAGGGAGAGTGTGCAGGCCACGTCATGGTGACTGCAGGGCTAGGGGAGGTTAGAGATGGCAACCCAGTAGTGTTGCAACCTGCAGAACAAACTCAGGGAGTCTGGAGCTTGCTGTGTTGCAGAAGGATTTTTATATTAATTGTCCCAGTGTAGCATATGGTGAAAGGCATTTATTGATGCTTAAAGGTGCTTCAGAAATCTTTCATTTTGCTCTTGGACTTCTGCTCTTTGATTCTTCTGCTTGTCTTTAAGGTCTCAGTCATACTGACAGCAGAGCTGGCATGCTGATCTCAACCGTTGCATGCAGCTGTGGCTCTTCTGGCTGCAGTGAGCAAATTCAAGCTATTCCAAGAGTCATCACAGACTCTTGGGAGACACAGGCACAGACACAGGGAGGAAGAGGGTTGTGGTGGCGCTTTCTGATCCAGCAAGGAAGAAGCAGTGCTGGTATCATTCCTGATGTCCTCATGTGCCAGTCATTTAAACTGTTTCTGGAAGTGTGTCTTGCTAACTCTTCCCAGACAGTGTGATGCAGAAGGTCCTTCATGAATAGTTTCAGGCCATCTACAGGAAACCGTAATCAACATTCAAAAATGCTCCCATCTTACGGCAAAGCTGCAGCCCTAACAGAATAATGACTATTGTTGAGTTCTGCTTAGGCAGGTGGTTTGAGTAGCTGCTGTTTATCCTGTTCAGGGCTTCTTAGTATGCAGGAAGGTGGTGGCTTTTTTGGCAGCTCAGCAGACTCTGAGATGCAGTCTCTCCTCTACCTTACAGCTTGCTTGGTTGCTGCAAGTACCTTACCTGCCTCAGGTCATTTTGATGGGGTTGTCCAGCTGCTGGAGGAATCCACCATGCCTGCCAAAATGTTTATCAAAAGCTCAGTGACAAGTAGACCCCCCGCAATGTGTTATGTGGTTGGGAAATGGTTTGGCAGCAGGATGTAATTGCCCATGAGCCAAGGTCTGAGGTGCTAGCTGGAAAGCATGACCAAATGTAGCTCCGAAAGAGCAGGCAGAAGAGATGAAGTGTTCTGGTTGCTGTCAGCACTGGACCTTTTGTTTATGGTTTACTTCATCCTGTGAGCCAGAGAAATCCAGTCTGGGGGGTCTTCCAGGCTACTTCAAGCAACAGCTTTTTTTCCATCGGTGGACAATACCAGCAAGTGACGCTTTCCTGGCTGCCCTGTCATCTGCCTGCACTGAGCTGAAGTCTTTGGCAGTCATGCGAGTGCTTGCTTCCCCCTGGCTGTTTTCTTGCATGCTGTGCGAGTGGCTGGAGATCCAGCTCCTAAAGCATCTGAGAAGCCTTTTTGGAGAAGTCTGCTTTGCATTGATGGGTGAGCATGCTGCTTCCCTCTCACCTTTAAAAGCTTATTGCTTATAAGCCTGGTCTAAACCCACAGCAAGCAGACAGGGATGATATGTGGGTTTTGGTGTGTCCCCCCTGTCCCCTTGGTTATGTGGACAGATCTTTGTGTAAGCTTCTGCTGAAAACAGGTTTGGGTTTTGGCAGAGTTAAGTGTTCACACGTGCTGCTGGATACAGTAACAGATGATCTCTCTGTGTTCCTTGCTCACTACCCGATGTACTCATGAGGAAATTTCTGTCCCTGATGTGCTTAGGGTTGTGCCAATCCCAGTAGCATGGAACAAAAACAGACTGGAAATGAACTTTGAAAATCAATTGTGAGAAGACTGGAGATGGGTCTGGAGACGAGTCCAGTCATCTTCTACCTCACACAGAAACCTGTAGGCAGGTTGAGGAGAAAAAGAAGAAAGGCTGTTTGGAGGGTTGGTGAGGGTTCCAGAATACCCTTGATCTGAGAACCTGAGGGTGCAGCTTTTCACCTCATGCTGTAGGAACCTGGGGTATGTAACACAAAGGTGCCTTGTGAAACTAGAAATTGGGAGGTATGGAGATACTATGGTGTTGACAATCATCTAGGCACTTAAAGACAATTTAGGCTGCAAATGGGAAACTGTTCATTTGTCTAGCTGAGTAAATTAAAATTCTGGGCACATTATTCCAAAGGAGACTTTTTAAAAAAAAAAAAAAAGCCCCAACAGATCTTACTTGGAACTGTCTGGAGAAATGGAGCCAGCTCCCTGTTTGTATGCATGTCTGCGTACTGTTCTCTCTAGGGGAGAAAATGCTAATGAGAAAGTGCATTTGGGATGTGTGTTCTAGAAACGTGGTGTCTGGAGCATGCCAGCGCTACTTGGAAGAAGTACGAGGTTACCTGGCAGCACCATGAGCTGGCCAGAGGCTTTTAAAGACTGCTTCCTCCATCTTCTGCTGAGTTACAGTAAAGCTGGTCTTAATACCCATGCTGGGGAAGATGGGGACAGAAGCAAGGCATTAGACAACAGCCTTGGTGTCTTATGACCTGTGGGAAGCTTTACTTGACAGTCTTAACTCTGAATGCGCATGCATGGAGCTGCGTTATGACTTGGAGGGTAAGGTGGCAGACAGTGTGTTGTCTCTTGCATTTAGATATGGTGGTCTTGACCTTCCACCCTGCTCCTGAGAATTTGGGGCTGCGTTTTTGCCGATGTTTTATCCTAATTCCTATTTAAAGAAGATCCAGGCTGAAGCTGCCAGCAAGCTTAAAAACCCTCTCCTCCTAGAGCATATTTCTGGCAGAAGCAGCCTTCACAAACTAGGTCTTGGGTCTGTTTCTGTTGGCTAAAGGGACTTGTCAATCCAGAAGTAAAATAAGTAGACTTTATTTAACTTGCTGGCAGTTTGTCTTGGAAGGGGGTCATCAAACTTTTTGCTTTGTTATTTCCTGACTCATTCATTCACACGTGCAGCCTTGGAAGCTCGAAGTCAAAACAAAAATAACAAAAATGAAAAGAAAGCTCAGTCTCTCTCTTTTTTTTTTTTTTTTTTTTAAAATGCACTTAGAATGTGATGTATCCTGGTATTTCTTGATTTTGGTTCTTGAAAAGCAGTATCTTTTGGTTTTGTGGATTTTTAAATTACAGAAAATTATTACTTCCTTCTTATTTTTTCCTATCTAAACCTAGGAGAAACTGGTTCTCACCTCCAAAACAAAAACAACCTCCAATTCTTTTTGAGTGTGAAGTTTTTTGACTGTTAGAGAAATGACACTGCAAAAAATTATGGACTCTAGACATGAGCCCTAGACTTTCCTTGGAGGAAACTGAAGATGCATCTGCTCCCCCCACCCCACACTTGCTTCTACAATTATGAAAACTCATCATCAGGTCCCTCAGAACAACCTCAAACCCAAACTTTGAAGAGCTCACTCTTCATGTTGGGCTATCAAACATGAAAACCAACCCACCATGCATGACTTGCCTTTTGTACCCTCTTCTCTTTTTTTTTTTCTGTATGTTTGAGCCTTTATGCAAATGGTACAAACGCAGAGGAATGGATGTTGGAGGGCCAGCAAGGACAGAAGAAGCAAGCTTCACCTGGAGGGCGACTGCCTGGGATGGAAGTGCTGTGCAAGGAGGTTGGGGATAAAGTTCAAGAATCAGAATTGTTCTGACCAAGACTTTTAAAAATGATAAAATTGGGTAGGCTTTGTGAGAGCTGCTTATTCTAAGAAAGCCTGGAGGGAAAGGCAAACAATGTTGAGGCACACCCAGCATAGTCGGAGAAAGGCTGCTTTTCCAAGTGGGGGGAATACTTCAGGTGCCAGCTCAAGATATGACTTTATTATTATGAGGATTCAAGTACCTTTGTGGCTCAGATGCCCTGGCGTTTATTATTCCCGTGTGCTCCAGATCTCATGCTGATGATTATTTTTTCATAAACTTGAGGTATATCACATACATGGCTTCTGTTACAGGCTTCCCCCAGTTCATCATGGGTTTTGGCAGTGGCAAATATTGTGAAGCTGTGTTTCAGGAGGACTAGGTAGTTTGTGTTTCCCATCTGAGTAGTGGATCTCCCATTTCAATGAATAAAGGAGCAACTCCACTGGTGTGTGAGGGTGCTTGATAGTCTCTGACTTGTACCAGGACAGATGCTAGGCAGTTTGTCAGCTCCCTCCTTTGCTGTGCTGTATCTAGGCATCTCCTAGGGAGGACTAGGCTGCCAGGTGAGACTTCCTTTGCCAGCTTAAGACCTCTTTTGCTTGCGCTGGGGACTTGCTGTAGGGGCAGCTCTTCCTGAAGGATACCCCTGATTCAGAGAAGACTGTTTCTGCTGAGCGTGCTGCTAAATGATCTGTTATTCTGGAGTCTAGCTTGGGCTGGTTTGTTTTGCCCTTAGCTTAGTCTTACTGCTGCTGGGTTACCTGTCATCTGGTGCTGTGTTCCCAGCTGGGGTGCTTCCTCTCACAGTGCAAGATCATCTGTTCCTCCATAGTTCCCATTTCAGGGCATCTTCAATTGCAGTTCCGTCAAGTAACCTTGAAGTGCCTGTTGTCACTTGAAATGTCCTTGATTGCAAAGAAAAGAGTGACAAGAAGTCAGAAAAATAATGGGAGAGTTGCAGAAAGGCTGCTGCTTAAGACAGTTCTCTAAATGCTGTATGTGCCCAACTGGTACTGAGAGGCAGCTCTTGATGCATTCACTTGTGTGCCTGCAGGGCCGTGTATAGCCTACTTCCCTTGTGTCTGTCCTCAGAAATACTTTGATTCAAGAAAAGCTCACTTGTTAAGAGTTGCTGTGGACCTCAGTGGTAGCTAGCAGTCTGGTCGTGGTCCTGAGTCCTGCTAGCTGGGCTCAGGGAGAGGGTAGAGACCCTCCGAGGTGCTGCTCCGTGTCATCATGGCTACAGGCACAAACTTTCCTGCTTTGAGTTGTGCCTGTCCTGGTTGCTAGCATCATTGTGCTGCATCTTGGAAGGTAACTGGAAAGTGAATCATGGATATGGTAGCATTTAGGGAAGATGGATGTGGGCCTGAGGATGCAGTAGGTACCTCCCTTTCCAGAAGAAAGGGCAGGGGGAAGGGTCCTTCAGTGGGACCTTTGATCTGACCCTATGGGGTTTGCCAGCATCACTCTACTGTGTGTGTTCTCTGCCGGTGCAGCACTGACAATTAGCAACACCAGCTGCCTTCAGGAAGGCCCAGCATGGATCCCGGTTATGAGATCTGTTCTCCAGAGAGGCTGTGTTGCTTATTGGCATCAGTTAACTTCTTCCCTGCCAGCAGAGGGACAACAGAATGAGACAGGTTCTGCAGAGGGAAAACATGCTGAAGATGGGTGTGCTTTATTAACTTCCTCATGTTCTGCTACCATCCTACCGCTGAATGCAGCTGTTCTGCATAAGGGGAAAAGAAAAAGACTGTTTCTGCCTCAGCAAGTTTGTATCAGACTTGTGATGGCAGGAGGGTGTGTTTTGAACAGCCTCGCTCCTCGGGGTGCACAGTCACCAAGGCAGTTCCTCTTCCTTTGTAGAGACTGCTGCTTTGGAAATGGGGGGTTTTCAAGCCAAAACAGGAGTAAAACCTTCCCTAATAGTCTTCGACTGAGTTAGTACAGACCTGTTGTCTCAATTTTTGCCCTAGCAAGCACACAAATAATGCAGCTGGAGCAATGTTTTGCCCCTTAGCCTGTTGGTTTCTACCTATGGAAGGTGGTCTTTCAGGTGTGTCTCCCTTTCAGTTTGCCTACTATGAAACTTCCTGATTGCTCCTGATTTTCTTCCACCAGGGAATTCTCTTGGTGTACGACATCACTAATCGCTGGTCCTTCGATGGGATAGACCGATGGATAAAGGAAATAGATGAGGTAAGTTGAATGGAAGAACACATGCAGTGGTCTATAGCAAAAATCCATGGAGGTCCCACCTGAGGTTCCACCTCTGATATGGGGACAAGAATGGCTGTGCTATGGAGAGGAAACAATGGCACTATGCTAATAAGTAAGGCAAGAGTATCTGCCCTCCACATCTGTATAAATCTGGAGTAGTAGGAAAGGGCTTGGGAATGGCCAAGAAAGATAGGAAGGTTCCTTCTAAAATGAACCACAGAGGGGATAAATTAGTCTTCCTCACCACGTAGTACCGATTTTGGCAGTCCCTCTCGGTCACAGAGCAGTTTCTGTTTTGTTGCCCTTCACTGCTATTGCAGCTAAGCAGAACACTGGTTGTAGGCTGCCCTTACTAAGGACAAGCCATGATTCCTCCACTTCTTTCCTTTTTTAAGCATGCCCCAGGTGTTCCTCGGATCCTGGTGGGAAACAGGCTTCACCTTGCCTTCAAGCGGCAGGTGCCAACGGAGCAGGCCCGGGCTTATGCAGAGAAGAACTGCATGACGTTTTTTGAGGTCAGCCCTCTGTGCAACTTCAACGTCATAGAGTCTTTCACAGAGTTGTCCCGTATTGTCCTCATGCGGCACGGCATGGAGAAGATCTGGAGACCCAACAGAGGTCAGTAGTGAGGAAGATACTCCATGTGGGGAAGGCATGAGAGCTGTCTGGGCTGAAACGGAGGGATAGGACTCACTGCTTAGGTGGGAGGTGTGTTTATTAGTAATTGTGGGATCTGAAAGCACCTGACATGGAGAAATGCCTCAGGTCAGACAAGCTGAAGCTGAGCCACAACAAGCTGCCTGTACTAGCGCAGGAACCCGGCAGGCAGTGGTGAGGGATGGGCAGCCCCAGAAGGCAGTTCAGCATGTCTAGGATCTGAATTGCCTTGGGGCATCCTACACCTCTCCACTTATTCTGGATGAGGCTGAGGGCAATTAAGTTCACAACTTGAAAGCACTTCAGTCAAATGGCTGTGTGGGATGAATGTCTCCTGTTTTGGAGAGATGTGGAGGCAGAATGAGCCCAAGGAGCTGAATGGGACTAAATCACATCCCTGCTGTCAGCATGGAGCAGTGGGCTGGGGTATTCCATATATCCAGGCACATGTGCTGCAGTGTGGTAAACTGTGAGCAAAGTCCATGTTATGCCTCAGCCTGTTGCGTTTGAAGCAAAATAGTCTTAAGTCCCATGTTCCTGGATGGAGGTAGCAGTGTGCCCCACTGGCAGTCTGAGCAGCAGGAGATTTGCACTCTGGGGGGTGACCTGCCTTCATATGGGTCCTCAGCTCCTGCTTATGAGGGAGGGAAAATGCTGTTTGCCAGTCCCAGTCACCAAAATATCTGCCAGGGCTCCTGCCCCTGACCTGGCTGCCATGCTGTTGTCTCCAGCTTGTGGAGGGATGGTGAGCTGGAGAGCAGGAACTGGGCTCCATTCACAGACCTCTTCTGAACCTCTTCCAGAGGCAGGACCTGTAACTGCTGGCTGCCTGCTTGGGAATAGGGGCTGCCTGCTTGGGAATAGCAGCATAGCTTTCGCGGCAGGCTGGAGATGAAAGCATGCCCTCGTGTGGCTGCTTGCTGGGATATCCCCTCCAAGTAGACTTCCCAAAGCAGGCTTATGATGTACACTGAGCTAAAAGGACGCTGGGAAGCCTAAAAGGGCAGAGCCACCTTCTGGCTTGGTGGGATCTCTGTTGCTGCAGGCACTCTACAAAGAGCTGGACCTGTGGCTGCTGCTCCTCGAGCAGGTCCCAAGTGAGACCCTGCACAGGGTCTTGCTGACCCTGTTGCCTCCTTCCCTGGGCATGTCCTTCTGGTTGCCAAACGATTGCCTGAGAAGCAAAGTGTCTGGCAGGAACATGAGCAAGGCACCGCCTGTCCCCGGCACTGTGCAGAGAGGAGGTGGGGTAATGTCTAAGCCCTGTGTTGACACTAAAACTGGTGTCTTGCAAAGCACTAAGGCAAAGCTTACCTGGAAGTTTTCCAAGCTTTTGTCCTAACTTATCTGCTCCCTATTCAAGGCTCCTATGCAATCATTATTAGCTTCTCTCCCTGAGGAACAGCACAGCATA